AGCTGGACAATCTTGCTATTAAAGGGTATTTTAAGTCTCATTCAGCACTATTATTTTTAAAAGTCTTCTTCCTATTCAGTTTTTATCTTGACTGTCTTTTTCCACAGATCAGCATTTTCAACTGTAGTTTTGTGTCCTAGTATCGCTGCACTTCACTTGGGTTTATCTTCATCCAATTCCGGATTCAACTTAGAAATATTATCTCATTCATCCACCTTAAATCATGTTCTTTGTAGTTTTTACATTTTAATTAAGACATTCAATAACAAGACCAATGCTAGCATCTCTGTGTGCAGTTGCCAACAGCTCTATTTGGCTGAAACATTTCTGATTTTTCTGACCTTTGTCCTGTGTCTTGTGCAACCACCAAAGCATCCTGCGCAGCTGTGTCACATAAATTAAATAAGCTGTGTGATTTATAAGACTTCCAAGTTAACTTGAAAGCAATCCCTTTGGTACTTCTGATGCAGCTGCTTCTCTCTATTGTATTCTGCTACTTGCCAGAAAACAAAACAAAGCAAAAACTAAATAAAAAAACCCTGAATGTTCAGCAACAGAGTACAATCAGGGAAAAAAAAAATAATTCTTTGTTTTAGATGCTTTTTGTTTTTCTCCTCTCACAATGGCCTATTTTGGCCACCTTTGCTTCTGTTTTCCTTTAGGACTTTCCAGTTCTGGGTAATACAACTCCTTTACCTCAGCAATGAGACGAAGGTTGCTATAAGAGCTTCAGAATGAAATGCATTTGTTAAGAGAAATACTCTGGCTAGAAAGTCTTGCTTGTAAGGAATAAAAGCATTAGGCATCCAAATTACAGCTTCCACAAAACTCTTCCTATCTGTTTCGTTACAGAGGAGGTCTTTTGGTCAATCAGTCTTCACCAAAATACTGAAATGTCCTTACAAGAGCAGCTGGTTTTGTCATGAGAGCTAAGTAGGGAAAATGCTGATAGGTTAAGCTAAATTCTATCAAAAAAATTGATGGAAAAGTTTTTTGATTAGTTGTAGTGAGGGCTAGTGACCCAGATTCTCAGCTTGACTCTTATTATCTCCATGGCTATTACAGACTTTAGCTGCAGCTTCCTCTAATCATCCATGGATACAGGGATGGTCTGTTGTCCTGGGCCTTTACAGTCCATCCACCAATTTTCAATCTACACGTCCAGTCATTTGAAACCAACAGCAAAACCAAGAAGTCCAGAGAAGGGCCTTATTAAGAAGTGGTGGTTTAATTTATAGCTATCCTTTCACACATTGCTCATATTACACTATATATGAACAAAAAAAAAGAAAAAAAAAACCAACAACCTCAACCCAAAACAAACCATGCCCAAAAACATCCTTTTTTTTTTCTCTCCACAGTTCAATGAATACGTTCCTGGCATCTGTTGCTTTCACTTCTAATATGTTCAAAATAATTTAACTATATCCCTCCTGAGCTCTGCTTTTGCCAAGGACAGTCATTCAGCCTCTAAGGATGATTCTTAGGCTGACCTTTGTTCCCATTTCTCTCCATTTTTTTCATGATTTAGGAGAGACAGAAGAAAAATTAATTAGCTATTTGCATAACAAAGTAAGATACCACCATCCAAATGTTTTATACTTAGCCATAAGTACTTCTAGTCTACACAGTGTTCTTCACTGCTGCTTTTATTCTCATCCTGTTTTTCTTGCTAACATGCGTATTATCAGGGTGTAGTTCTTTATTTCAGCTTTTCAACAGTCTTAATTATATTTCATCTCCTCTCCCTCTTCGTCTCTATTCTTAAATTGCCCTACAATCATGTCCCCAGAGACTACACAGGCATGATGAACACGTTACTGCCATGGCTAATTTGCCAGTGCCATTTAGAGCTACAGACTTCTCTCCTACAATGCAGGCACTGTCATGCCTTAAAGGAAACAGCCTAAGCTCATGCCTAATATTCTGTAGGCTGGCCAGGCTGGAAGGCGAAGAGTTTATTTTTCATTCCAAACCCATTAGTTGATCTGCTTATTGCAATACTATGGGCTGACCCACTATCAAGTGCTGTAAACAGCCTTAGACAAACAAATACTCATTTATCGACTGCACGTACTGAAAGTAATTTTGGTTTAGATTAATATTAACTTGTTCACAGCCGAAATAGAGCAATCTGAGACTTCAGAAGGTCCCTGTGCTTGTCTCAGTCATGTAACATTCTCATTTAAGCAATGCATACTTGGCAAGCCATGGCTGTTGTCACCTACTGACCAGCCTCCTAAGGAACAGTACTAAGACGCATGGCCACACTTCACCTGCTTGTGACCCAACTTGATCCAGATAACCCAGGAAATGCATATCTCTGCCTGTGTCACACAGCCTATTTTTCTGTCCCGTCTCTTTACAAAGAAAAGGGTTAAATTTTTAAGTGTAAAATCACTCTCTGATTCCAAGTGTGGCGTGCTCATGCTTCACAATTTCAAGGCTGAGTAAATGCTTCATTTACTATTGTAACATGAAGGTACAGAAAAGCAAACAAAATTAAAAGGCATGTTAAAGACCTGCTGTGATGTGTTTCTTTAAGGTGATAGAGACATACCTTGTATTGTATGGGTACGGTTTTCTCACTCTTCTGTCTTCCTCATATCTATCAGATCCATGGTTCTCATGGTGCCTGTACTGCTTATCTTGGTATCGTCTCCCAGCATGAGGCATCTTGTTTCTTACATGTATTCTTTCTTTCTAAAATAACTTCCTGAGCTAGAGAAATAAAACTGGTTCATTTTATAGCTTTACTTAGTTATTCATTGACCAGCACTTGCATCCATTTCATGCAGTTTCAAGACTCAGTACTAACTTCCTTATGAAGCAAAGGAAGTAATACCCTTTAAACTATAGATAAAGTAACTTCATTAAAGAAGAAAGTTTTTCTTTACATTTTCGTATTCACCAAGTAATTGCAATGCTTTTATATTCAACATTTATTGAGCTTAGCTTACTTACTAGGTCTGTCCTGACTCTCCTACCTTTGCCACAAGGACAAGACGTGGTGTCCACTAAGAACACGAATCTTGGCTTCTCTAGTGTCGTCTTAATGAAGCATTAAACCCAGCAAACACTGGTACGTTCCATGAGCATGCACGCAGCTGCCACTGACGGCAGGGCAAACTTGAAAGTGCAGGCTGTGACCTTTGTCCTGGAAGTTTCTAAAAGGAGGGCACCCTTAGTGTCCCCCGCATCGCCTGTGATCTGGATAAAAGTTAGGTATAGGCAAAGCTGTCCTGGGAAGAAAATCAGCCGTCGAGAAGACACACCCTTGATTAGCTGGTATTAAATACTGCAGGGATGTTATTTCCTGAAAGTGTCTTTACCCTTTCAAGTGCAGTACTCCTAAGCCCAGACCTGTAAAATACAGAAACACAGAGTTTAAGGACATAAGCAATCTTTATCCTTATTTGCCTTCAACGCAGCCTTTCAACATTACCACAGAAATGCCTGCGGTCGACTTAATTTTGACTGATCAAACCAAGAACTCTCTTCCTGACCTCCATCTCCTTAGGGTGTCACTACAGAAATAAATTAGGTTTCCATTTGTTTACAGCTAACAAAGAGGCCGGGCCTTCCTCCGGGGGAGCTCAGCTCCTCTGCTCCGGCAGAAGCCATTAACCAAAGCTCAACCCCTCACGGTGCTGGTCCCGTTGCCTCAGCACCAGGACACCAAACCGAAATCCCGCTTCGCCCCCCTTTGCGGAGCCCCGGAGCTGAGGCCGCACACCGGCCACCCCTTCCACACCCCGAGGGAAGGAGCCGCGCTCCTCGCTACCCACCCGCCGGCCAGCAACGGCCCCAGGGCCCCTTCTGCCGTTCCGTTCCACAGCACCCCGGGACCGAAGGCAAGCTGTCCCTCCGCTCCTGCCGTTCCTCACCTGAGCTCCAGCCCGCCCAGCAGCAGCAGCTCCAGCACGGCCGGGCCCGCCCTCCCACCTCCACCGCGCCCCGGGCCTGCGGTGAGCCAGCCCCCCGCGCAGGTGCTGCCGTGCCCGTCGGATCGTCCCTCTGCGGGGCCTGTGCGCCTCCATGAGACCGTTGCTGCGGGGGGAAGCAGGGATCGGTGCTGCTTCCCGCCTGTCCGTGGGGGAGAGCCGGTGTGAGCCAGGCTGGGCTGAGATTTAGTTTAATAAACTGAGGTCCCCGACCGCTGCAGGGCTGAGGCAGAATCTGGAGAGGCCTGGAGAGCATATAAAACTTGGAGGTTAATAAAGTTGAAATTCAAAGTCTCTGCTGGTGTTTTTTGTTTGTTTGTTTGTTTATTAAAGCCAACATCACTGACTGCAGTGCTCAGGGCAGGACGAGATGTACAGAGGACAGAAGGTAGAAGAAAATGGGGAAAACACAGCCTACCTTAGGAGCAGGTGGGTAGGAACAGCCTGTGCTATGCTAGACGGATGGGAAAAGGAGGTAAAAAACTAAACTCCCTTCTGGTGTAAAACCACGTTTTAGGTAACTAATTGTTTGAATGGATGCAGTCTCAGTGCTTGGTACTCTGCAGAAAGCCCCCCACTGTGGTGGATCTCCAGGGGCTTTGTCTTCTCACTGCCAGCCTGTAGTGTTTCTCTTACAGAGGAATAATGTGCTGGTCCCCACAGGATGCTTTTTGTTGGGAGAAACAGAAGGCTGCATGGAGACCTCAGCCTTCCGGTATTTGAAGGGGGCCTACAGGGATGCTGGAGACTCTTCATTAGGGACTGTAGTGATAGGACAGGGGGTAATGGGTTTAAACTTAAACAGGGGAGATTTAAGTTAGATATAAGGAAGAAGTTCTTTAAGGGTGGTGAGGCACTGGAACGGGTTTCCCAAGGAAGTTGCAAATGCTTCTTCCCTGGCATTGTTCAGGGCAAGGTTGGACAGGGCTTGGAGCAACCTGGTCTAGTGGAAGGTGTCCCTGCCCATGGCAGGAGGGGTGGAACTGGATGACCTTTACGGTCCTTTCCAGCCCAAACCATCCTATGATTCTATGATTCTATTTCTGCAGAGAGCTTGGGGCAGACCCATGGAGCGGCATTGCAAGGAGGGACTTGTTCATCGTGCAGTCCTATATACAAAAACAATCAGTGCCTGAGAAGCAGAACAGTGGGGTTAATGTGAAGCCTTGCAAAGCTTCCCTAGTCTCTGGCACTATCCTGCAGAAGAGCTGGGACCAGAAAATCTGTTTCCTTCCCAGGCAACACACTTGGGGTACCTGTGCCTCTTGAATTTGGGTTTAAGATTTGTAATTGTTAGTACAGTTCCATGCTAAGGCTAGATACAAAATCCCCTTTAATAACATGCAGGTATCAGAGGAATTGCTGTCCCTGAAATGAGATATCTATGGGAACTGCGTGCTCAAGACATGTTTTGTAAATTGCTGCACTGTGGTAAGACTGTGATTCCCTGCTGCGGCCAAGCTGTGTTAACAGCTTCTTTTGCTTCTTACCATTCCCACCTCACCTAGACCTTTTCTGCTGTTCCTGCCTTCAGCTTTACAGTTCATCTTCTTTCTGTCCTGCACCAACCCTAGTGCTCGATCATGTACTAAGCCAATTCAGCTTGCTTTCTAGCCAAAACCAATTTACTTTCTGCTGGTTTAGTGAGTTGAATTGGCTTTGTGCTGTAAGCAAATGTGTGCTGGAGCAAGGACTTGGCAGAAGCATGTGTCCCAGCGGGAAGTAACGGGGGGGAGGGATAGGGGGAGAGGGCTACCTCTCTTGGCAGCAGCAAGTGGTGAATGTAACTGAAGCTTTAATGTGAAGTTGTGTCTTGAGACACTACTACCCATCAGTTAGTCACTACACCTTCTCAGTTTGGGGCTGTCATCCTGCTAGCAAAGGCAGTCTAACAGCAGGAGTGTTTTACTGCTTTGTAGTTCTGTTCCTAATTCTTACTGTTTCTATTTAAAGGTAGTTTAGGCTAGTTTGGCAGATTTTACCCTGAGGAAGGTCAGGGTGCCTGCATGAATTCCGTTCTCCTGTCTACATGATAAACATTTGGGAAATGCATTCTTCACTTGCATCCACCAGAGGATGTTGCTTTTGATTGGGGGCGAAGGAATTACAGCTCCCTTCAGGTAGGCAGGTTTCATAAAAACAGTAGAAAAATCACAAGGAGACATGGCTGAAAACAGAATTTGGGAGGGCGGGGGGTGTTACTGAAGTATGGAAGTACCTTGACAGCAGCTGTCTACAGTATAGCTAGTCGTTTTGTTAAACCATTTCTCTTGCTGGGCTGGAAAGGTTGGGGTGTTGCCATTTTGGTTTGATGGAACACTGGGTGGAATGGAAGGGATACAATTTCGACTGGGTAAAATTCAGGGAAGCTGGCAGGCAAGGTAAGTGTTTAAAAAGTGGTTCAAGTCATTGTGGAACCCAGTAGTTGAAGTAATGGGGTTGCAACCAACCCAGAATTACATGGTGAGATCTACATTAAAAACTTAATTGGGTGACCAAATGGATTTTCCCTGGGAACTCATAAAGCAAACTCAAGGCACTGAGCTAGTGATTGCTGGAGTTGCCTACGTATGACATAAGAACCAGTGAGACAAGCCACAGAAAATTGTGTTGATTATGGAGAAACAGCCAGCAGTAGTAGCAGCAATGTGTCTCTAAGGAGAAAAAAGTAGAAGAAGCTCATGAATGGACTGGATGTGGTACAGGCTAATTTTGGATGAGAACCATAATTTGTTCTTACCTTGTTGCAGGTAAAAGGATTCTGTGTTGTATGTAAGCAGATGGGTTTGTATCAAAGATACACGTGATTCTGTCATTAGTTTCTCCTTTTAATAGAAGTAACTTTGGGGACTGGATTTTGGCTAGCTACTGAAGTCCAGAGGGACTGATTTGCAGAAAACAAAGTGTGAACCATTTATATATATATTATTTTTTTCCCTGGTAATTTACTTGAATAGGTCACCTCTCTGTCTTGGATCAGTGCAGTCCCCCAATCTAGGTATAGGCTACAAGGTGCCATAAATAGACCTCCAGGGACAGATTTTGCCAGCCAGCCAGGCAGTCAGGGCACCACTGGAGTCTGTTGAGTCTAACAGGAACACAAAGGTCCTGAGATCAGCAGGACTAATATTAGCTTTGGCATATTTTTTTTCTACCCTCTTAGTGTTGCTTTTATATCAAATCTGTTGTTTATTGTTATGAACAGCAATAAAAGAATTTAGGTTGAAGGCATCCTTTTATTTTTATATATTTTTTCTTCTTAAAGAGATTTTGAAATCCCTGGTCTTTGGAAGGGGAAGTAAATTGAGTTTGGGAATGAAGTAGTTGGTTATGTGTTGGTCAATTTTTTTCTGTCCTAGTGGAAAAAAACCCATCACACCACCAAATACTGCTTCAGTAAAAGAAATGTAAACAATCTTAATTGATTTACTATTAACGTTGTATCCTTGGTGTGTGATATAACAAATATTTATTTTTAAAAGCAATGGAAACCATCCTAAGGCTTCTTTTATTGTTGTCTTTGGTAACATGTAAATTGTTTGTTTGGTAGTTGTTTCTTTTCCAAGACTGAGTCCTTCCCAGCATCTTCCGAGCTTAGTTCTGATTTAAAAATCTTACAACATGGATTTCTGAAAAGTGGAATTTTGTCACACTGAATCTAGACTCTGGCTGAGGAATAGCCAGCTTCTGGAACATTTCCAAAACAGGCTGAAGGCAGAGAGGATGTTTCTATCAAAGCCTTGAATCCTGAAAGAGTGTTATCTGTGGGCCCCTTCGTATTTATATCAGCTTGAAGTATGGAGCGGTAACACCAGCCTCACTAATGCTCTGAATCACCACAGCTGTCACTTCCATGCTGACTTTCCTCAAGTTCTGCTGTTGCTGGCCACCCAAGCTGTATCTGAAACCTTATTGTTCATTTTCTTTCTCCCTGCTCTTAAGCAGAGTTGTAGTAGGCTGAAGCCATTTTTCCCTAACATGATGAGCAAAACCAAAACGGCCTTAAAAAATCTGAGAAAGTGTTAGCATTAAAATTTCTCCCTCAGTTCTTAACAGTCCTTTCTCCCAAATTCCATCTGTGTCATGCTGAACTTGGGGAAACCCCTGTCTGAATAGATCTTGGAGACCATCTGCAATCCTATACTTGGTTTTCTATAATAATGTACCACTTAAATGTAAATGTATTCAGGACTGAAATTTGCTTTTGGAGGGCGTTTAGACCCTGTGCAAATCTTTGCAGTCTTACTGCTCTAACATTCGCACTGGTGGAGCTTATGCTTCTGGGTGCCTGCTTTGCAAAATGCACAAAATTGCAGCAAGAGGAGCTACCTAAGAGCTCACACCACTTCTCTGTCTCCTGGCATGAATGCATTACATTCCATTTTATGTTAGTAAAATATTTATGAAGTTTTATCAACATGATAGGAGCTCTTGCCTCTTTTACAAGAGGTAGGAATTACGAGCAGTCTGCCTTCTCTCTCAGTTAATCTACTCTTCCATCTAGTGTTTTTCTTTTCTCATCTGGACGTAGATACAATCCAATAACAAAGAATATTTGTTTTGTGGTCAAAACTATCAGGGTCAGAGTCTACACTCCTGGCAGATTTCTTGTGCATAGAAAATTTATGAAAGCACGGAGATGCTGGTTTCAGTAATCTATCCTTAAAAGGTATCCAGGCATTTTGTTACAGATCAAAACACATAACCCTGGGCAGCTCTGAGCTATTTACATCTGGTCTGTTTGGGCCATAACGTTGGCAATTGCATGCATCAAGAAGGGAAGAGAGGCATTAAATTTAGGTGTCCAGTTCATGGAAATGGTTTGTTGCAGTTTCTTTTGACCTTCTGAAAAGAAATGCAACAGTGGCATCCTGTGGCCTGAGCAGTTCATGGCAGGTGGGGCTGGTGTAGGGCAGGATCCACTGCCGAGGTCTTCCTGCACCCGTGGGAAACAGATCAAGTTATTTCTAAGTTCGTTTACAAAAGACGTCCACAGTGTTTCAACCCGGTGCACATCTTCTGCCTGAAGTACAAAGCTGCTGTCTAATTTTCCACAGGTTCTCTCCACCAACTTACCTTATATTCTGCTGTTTATTTTTGTACCAAACTTGCCAGTGTTTGGGAAAGAGAGGATGACTTCAGTTATCACCTAGGAGAGAGGACTTCTACGTTGCTGTCTTTGTGCTGCTGAGCATTTCCTCAGAAAAAAGGAATGGAGACTGCGAGTGTCCTGTTTTCAACTATCCCAGGCTTTAGTGCCACATACTTAGTTTAAAAATGAATGTTTTAGGAAAGTCCAATGAAGATAAGGCTAGTAAGAGTTGTTTTCCCTTGTGCCTATGTCATACCTGAGTGCTCACTCCCACACACCACGTGTGTGTCTCTTGAGTTTCTCAAAATCTTGGCCTTTATTTGTTTAACTTGGACAGGCTGTGATTTGCTTACCTCCTCACCAGCCGATATTGGCAGCCATGACCACCAGGCTCTCTAAAAGCTTGCAGGAATGCCAGAAGGTATGTTAATGAAGAACATACAGGCTTACCTGCAATCTTACGGGCACTTGTCAGGGAAGCTGTTGATGGCCTCATTTTTTTGGCCTTCTTCTGTTTTCCATTGTCTTCTCTTCTGTAAGAAAGGAGATGTTAAGGTGGTCTCTTTTAAAACCTCTTCCTTCCTACTTCTTACCTTCATATGTGGAAGAGTAAATGTTACTGCACGCTCAAGCACCAGGAAGGAGTGTGGGTGGAAATAAAACAATTTTGTTCATTCTGATTTTTCATTTTCTTGTACCCAGAAGGCTCTGCATGTTTTGGGTTATTTACCTTGAGAACTGGAAAAGCAGAGTATGGACAAGGGTGTCTGCTGCTGCCTGTGCATGGAAGAAATTTTGATGGCTAAGTTTTGTTTTGCAGGGAAGTCATCATGATCCCTTCTTGGGATGGCTGAAGCAGGAGGCATGGAAACAAAACCAGCAGCAGACAGGGGCTTAATTGTTGCCTTTAATAATGAGTGAGTACTCTTAAGATTTTTTTTTAAATTGCTTAACTGAGCTTGCACCACAGTTTCTTGCAGTATTAATCCCTGGGCTGCCTCTTAAAACACGCACATGCATGAAAACAAACAAATGTTAAGGCTGGCTGTGGCTCCAGTGATGTTAACCCCTGCTCCTTTTTGTCAGTTAAACTGACAACCAAGATAAGAAGAGCCGGTGTTGGTATAGTCTCTTGCAAAACAAACCACTCTTGACAGACGAAGCAGCCTCCTGTCAAACGAATTTCCTTTACAACTGCCGAGGGGACTATTTTTAGTTTCATCTGCCATTCTTTACTCCTTAATCATCTGGTTCATTTTTCTCAGTTTTTCTCTCTTTTTTCCCCTTCCCCACCAGCTCTTATACCAGGTACTGCTGATAATCTGCAAAGAAGGAGGGCACCGGGCTCTGATAGCAAGTATCTGCACCAGGATGCCACCAGCCTTACCATGTCCAGCTCAGCTCTAGTGTGTGAAGGAAGGGAGCCTTCAGAGAAGGGCAAATAGACCACCCTGAATCTAGATGAAGGATGTCAAAGACCAGCAAGTGAATGAGATCAGTTCTTGTCAGGCAAGAGTTTTTGTTAAGGCTGAGTTGAGAAAACGTGCTTTAAGTTGCAGGAGGGGAGCTACAAATGTCCACCACCGAAGCAAAATCACAGGCATATGGGATCAGGCAGCAATCTCTTCATATGCCATTAGCAAGGCTGAGCCTGGCTTTTCCATTGGAAATAAAATAAAAGTGTTCTGGGAATGATGGTGTTTATTCCATAGGTCTTGAGTTTCTGGTAGTGGCTGCCTTCCCTTTTTCGTCTGTTTGACCCACTGCATGTTCTTAGTCCCTTGAGCAGCAGAGTGATTCTTGTCTTCTGGCTGAGATATAAACAAGAATTCCTGCCTATCTGTAATCCATTAGAGATTTTGTGATGCTATTTGCAAGACTAGGAGTGTCTTAAGGCTTTGGTAGCTCACAAAATAACACTGCTTTGCTCAGCTCCACATAGTAGTTCAATCAAGTCCATCATCCTCTGCAGCATCTTTATAATGCCTAATTCACATGGGTTGTTATATATTCTATACAGTCTTCCTCCACAGTATGCAAAAGCTTCACAATGAGTGGTTTTATGCCCATGGTGCTTCTGTGAGGTACAAGTTGCTATAATGTCCACTTCATAACTGGATTTAGAGAGCACAGAGACAAAATGAGTAGTCTGAAGTCAAGAGGGAAGTTCCTGGCAGCAGAGGGAATTATGCCTCTGTCACCTGATAGTGAAAGTAACAGTCCTGGGGTTAGTGCACTAGCTAATGATTTCCAGGGAAGTGGCACAATTCTCATGAAGAAGGAATCGCTAGAAATGGTCAAAATTTCCTAACAAAAATGAGTTTTCAGATGATACAAATGTTTGCAGGAAATGCATGTCTTTTGAGAAAGTGAAGTAAAATTTGTTGTATTCAAACCAAAATGAACTAGGCTTAAAAGATGAATATTCCAATTGATCTCTTTTTTCCTCAGTGGGGAAAAAAAAAAAAAAAAGGAAGAAAACCTTCTGGGGAGGAAAACATAAAAGGGATTTCCTGATTTCTCAAATGGAGTGAGAATACAAATGCATTGTTGATTGAAATATAAAAACTATATTGCACCTTTTCTTCAGGATTTCCCCTCTCCATTCTTAGTTTTTTCTTTTTATCTCATAACTGACTAGTGCAAGAGTGACCAGTCTCCTTAACCCTAAAAAAAGTGTACCAGCACTTCAATCAAAATTCCTTAGCAAAGGAAAGTTAGAGTGAGAGAGCTGGGAAGAGGTTTTGTGGCTGACAACAGCAGCTCCTTACGTCTTTGGCTGCTTTACTCTCTGATTGGATTGAACGGGGATCTCCTTCACAGTTCTGCTGGCTCACCTCCTTCCATTGCTTGAGTTTGGACTGCACAGTAGCCCCACATTCATGCATCTGTGCTGGGAGACATCTGGTGTAATCCCAGCCTATGCATAGCAGAATTATTTGTGTGCTTCTCAAGGGCTGGTTCCCCTGCTGGGTCATATACCCGTCATATAACTGTTGTCGTGGTTTAAACCCAGTCAGGTAACTCGTTCGCTCACTTCCCCCCCCTTTTCTTGCCCTCCCCCTGCTCTCGGAGGGATGGAGAGGAGAATTGGAAAGAATGCAACTCCCACGGGTTGAGATAAGAACAGTTTAGTAACTAAGGTATAACACAAATCACTACTGCTACCACCAACGATAATAATGATAAAGGAAATAACAAGGGAAGAGAATACAACACCTCAGCACCAGCTGACCGATAACTCGGCCCCCAAGCCCGACCAAGCTCCGACCGATACCTCCTCCAACCCTGCAGTCTCTCAGCCCTTCCGGCTAACTCCCAGTTACATCCTGGGCATGACGTGCTGTGGTATGGAATACCTCTTTGGTCAGTTTGGGTCAGGTGTCCTGTCTCTGCTTCCTCCCGGCTTCCCCTCCTCCCTGGCAGAGCATGAGGCTCACAAAGTCCTTGGCCAAACCAAAACATCACTATCAGCTCTGTTCCCGAGCTGAAAGTCAAAACACTGCACTGCACCAGCTACCAAGGAGGAGAAACATGACTGCTACTGCTGAACCCAGGACACTGTGCAGGCTACAGCTGACAAAACCATTCCCGCTTTGCTTTTCCCCTTTATTCCATTGCTTTTGACACTGTAACTTTTTAGTTTCAGCTTTCTTTATCAGGACATTGGTGAGCTCTAATTCTGACTCTGCTGTTTTCAAGACCCTGAATTAGATTTTGGTTTACGAGCTGGAAGTGGGGAAAACACTAGAAGCAAGGCAGGTTTTGTATTTTTAAAGATGCTTGAAAGTCTGCCAGAGAGCTGGCAGTTTAGTGATGGATTCTGACATATCAAAGCAGACAAGTGAGAGTTCATAAGAATTCAAGTTCTGTTGAAAACCAGATTGAAACATGGCTAGCTGTGAGGGCTTTATAGAGAGAAAATTATTATTGTGGATATTCAGACTTATAAGTGTATTTCAGACCTTGCTGTGGGAAAAAAAACCTGTCATTCCAGCTTCATATGCATCCTTTGGATTTTGCCTCTATTACTCAGATGTTCAGTGTTTTCAGACCAGTCCATCTGTCACATCTCTTGCCTGGGTGCTTGGTTGGGACACTGCCCTTACGTGCCTGCACACATAGACTCTCAGTTTCCCTGCCACCTCTGCATGTGGAGCCTTTCTTTTAGGCATTTGTCCCCTTTCTCAGTAGTCCAGTTCCCTGCCTTTGTAGTTTTTTGTTGTTCTACAAACGGGGGCAATTGCATCTTCTTCTGGATCAGTGTCATGAGAAGAAGCAAGCAACTTCTTGGCAGAGAACCTAGAAAAAAATCATTTTGGTTCCACCAGGTAAGAAGGCTTTGACTGTCAAAATTTCTCATGGCATGTTAGGAGTTTTTGAGCAAAAGTGTCAGGATGAAATGAGAACACTGCTTTCAAAATGGCCATGAAAGGAGAAAGCCAAACAAAACAGAATTTTCCTCTTGCTCTGTGTAAAGGGCCTCTGTGCTGAAGACGTCACCAGCTGAATGCATATAAGAAGTCGCTGGCCATTGTTAAGCTCAATTAATCTTATTCTTGAGCCCATGATAACATCTGTGGATTATTTAAACAAAGAGATGGTGAGCAAGCAGGAGAAGAAAATCAAAAGAGGTTCTGCTGTGAACACTCACACCACCATCACCCAAGCGACGCTGTAATGTAGAAACTGGGTCAGAGACACCCTTCCCCCTCCATGCTGTCAAAGTTATTTGAGCGTCTATTGAAACCCTCACAATAGAAGAGTTTGGCTCCTGCATTTGCTAAGCAAAACTGATCTGTGTTTCTTCGCTCAGAAAAAGCTGCTGGGTAATTTTCCGTGAGAGTACAATGTGGCTGTTCAGCTGATCCCTGAAAGCTGATTTCTTGGTGATTTGCTTTTCATTTCATAAGGCATCACAGTTTTTATTTAGCATTTCTAAATGGACATGCTGGATCTGTGTTTAGAAGTCGTAAACCTCTTTCTTGCCTGTGTTAGTTTTAGGAGCTACACTGGTAGCCTTCATTCAAAGTTCAAAAGATTGCTGTGAGTCTCTTCGAGATGTTGCTGGCTCTGTTGTCTTACTGATGATATAAATCTAAGTTAATTACTTTATTTGCTTCTAGGATAATTGAATTAAAATATATTAGCTTGGAAATATGGCTTGGATAGATTCAAAACCAGCTCTTCTTGACTCTTCTCACTGCCCTTTTTAATCCCATATTTGAGTCTTTCATTCTTGTTTACAGCTGTCCCATTAGCAGTCCCAGCCTTCCAATGTGCTGTGTCCGCTCTGGAGTTTTTTTGTCTCGTTTTTCTGGCTTCTTTCAGAGAGTCCCAGTGGCTCTGCATTGTCCCGAAAGGAAAACCAAGCTACACTTCATACTCACAATGATGGTCTGCTCAGGTTTTGCCAGTGAGCATGGAGCCCTGGAGTTAGGCTATAAGGAGTGACATTGCTTGGCAGTGGTCGTAAGCACTTACTCCAGAGGAAATACGAGTGAAGTGGAATAGCAGGGTCCAGAGTCTGAACCTGTTTTCTAATATTCCGTAAATACATTCTCTTATTTCACTTGCCCTCCCTGCTGCCCTCAGCAAGCACTTCCACAGAGTGAGAACATGCCTTCTCACACTTTTCCCCTTACATAAAACGTCTTTTGTTTCTTGAAAATTGCCTGGGGGGGGGGGGGTGTCTGGGAGACTCACTTGGCCATGGAGCCAAGAAGGATGTTTGTGACGTGGCTGCTGGGAGTTGCACACCCTAAGTAGTTGTAGCATAGCGTGTTGAAGATGCATGCTTGGGGGTGATGAAAGAAGCAGTACTGACTGTTATAAAGCAAAAGTGAGAACCTTTCTGCCTGATTCTTCATCTTATTGTGTGTTAGTTTCAACAGCAAACATCTCTTGAGCTACCTTTCTTGAACAAGCACAAAATGATCTATGTCAACATGTGTTCCTCACTATGAAGAAGAAATAGAAATTCTTGTCACTTCACTCATTTTGGGAGAAACTAAAGAAGGCATTTGCACCTGAAGTTTGAGGAAGAATTACTTCTTTTGTTATCAAGGCTAATCCATCCCCATCTCTGGCACATGGCTAATCTGTAATAATCAAGTCAGTGCATATGACATAGTTTTTTGACAGGACAACATTGCTTAGTAATTTACTAGCATCCCACACACACAACAATAGAGTTATAATTAGCTCTCATCCCTAAAGTTGGAAGAGCTTTTCAGTTCATTGGAGGCTGCTGGCCAATTCTCTTATCTAATTGGATGAAGTTCCTACTTTCTCCCATTTTTATGATGTCTGCTTTTACACAAACTCATTAAGTGCAGCTGTACTCAAATTTTATAACAACAGTCCCAGTGAAGACTAGGCAGGAGTTTAATAGCTGTTCTGTTCTCTCTTTTTCATCTGATCTTAATTCATTTTGGTGGTTGATATGTGCCCAAACATCTTTCCCTAGCACCTAATTCTCCCCCTCCAGCTTTTTATTATAAATCATCTTAATAACTAGAAACCAGACAAATTGCATAGGATTCATCTGTCTGTTTTGAAACTGGACAGTTTACAGCTTGCT